CTTTAATACGAGTGATCTCGTTAGATCACTCGTATTAAATGAGCAGTGGCTCCTACTACTCGCCTGGCGCCCGAAACTGCATGTCTCGGGCGTCGGGATTCGCTCCATAAGACGCAGGCACTTTTTCCCCCTCCTTTTGGGGGGAAAAAAGTGCGTCTTATGGAGCGAAAAATACGGTAATACAGCATATTGCAATTTACCAGTCGGTGTCAGCGCAAAATACTGTTTGTCAGCTGCAAATAACCTGAGTGGTCTAATTTGCCCACATTGAGGTAGTATCGAGTCAGAGTCTTTCACTATAATAGGATCTGCCTGTCGCTTTCAACAACTTCCTGGATTCCCAGTGTGCTTCGCGTCTCTTTCCCTGCTGCTTGATGTGATGCAATCTCCATTTCTTAATACTACACATCCCATCATGCATTGCTTCCAGCAGGCAATGATAATGTTACATTGTGGGAAGTTTAAACACTGAATTGTAGTTCAGATGGCAGGCAAAGTTGGAGGGTAAGGAAGAACATATTCACAGGGCTGAGTGAAATTGTGTCAGTTCATTGAGGAAGTGCATCCTATGGGCATCTTCAATAAGTTTATAAACTTCTAGATGGATATGGCTATTAGGAGTGGGATAGAAATTAATTATAGAAATACACATTTATTTTTAGTTTTTTGACCATTTAAGCAGTAGTTAAGGATGGGATGACATCATGTGAATTCTACATATCTATCTGCACATGTATTGATCGGAGGACTGTGATCCCTTCTGCTATCAGTATTGAATTCTGGGGATTTTTTTTTTTTTAGCTCCCGCTTGTCCTCTTGTGAGCTGTTTCTTTATTAGGCAACATGCAGGTCTTCCAATGTTGAGGAACTAGAAGTCCTAGAAGCAATGACGTATAGTTCCCATCCACATTAGCACCTGCGGTATCCCACACCCGCAATGTTAACTCAAAACTCCAATACAGCGACGTGCCTGGCAATGAATGACCCTGATTAACTCTGCTCCAGCACAATCACACACACATTCCTGTTTCAAGTCAGCCGGTCTCCGATGAAAACTTACTCCCCAGCCTGTTGCTCTCTTTCCCATCCACCTCACCCATTTACTCATACATTATGGATGGTGAACAAGCGGAAATTTCCACTAGCTGACTTAGCTGCACTTTCCTGCCTTTGGTGCATACTGTACAAACTAGTCCAGCAGCAAAAAAAGGTGTCTGACCACAGGTAAGCTTCTCCGTGGCACTAGATGGTTGTGGATGTCAAAGGCTAGAGCTGTGGTGGGAAGAGTACAGGATAACATTGTTGACTCTTCTCTTGAAAATTCTAGTTGTTGGGAGGTCATCTCAATCCCATGGCTTCAATACATTAAAACCACAGTCAGGCAAATAGATAAGCATATAGACATTGTACTCACAATCCCCATATTCATAGTCTTACCTCCATTCACACGTTACAGCAGTTGTGCAGGGTGTCTACATATGACTGGACAGTCCAATAGGCTCCAGAATTAGACCCAGTGCTATCAGATATCAGTGCTCAGTAACAGACAGACACACCCCCTCTCTTCCTTTGTATTACAAATCTGTGTGAGGGGTGTGGCTGTTACTCGGCTATGCTAAAATAGAGCTCTGAAGGAGGAAAGCATGAAGCAGAATTTTCTGAAGACATATTTGCAGCTCAAATGGGGCAGCGGCCTGTGTGGCAGCCATGGCTCCCTTCATTGACACAAGTACAGTGAGTAAGTGTAGCTTCCCTCCCCCCAGTTAAGGAAGTTTGTTATTTGATGGATTACCAGGTGAAAATAAAGAATAAAGAGCCTAAGTTGGCCCACCCTTTGCAGCTATAATGGCTTCAACTCTTCTAGGAAGGCATCCATAGGGTTTAGGCGTGTGTCTATGGGTGTCTATGACCATTCTCCCAGAAGTGCATTTGTGAGGTCAGGTACTGATGTTAGACGAGAAGGCCGGGCTCGCAGTCTCCGCTCTAATTCATCCCAAAGGTGTCCTATCGGGTTGAGGTCAGGACTCTGTGCCGGCCAGTCAAGTTCCTCCACCGCAAACTCCCTCATCCATGTCTTTATGGACCTTGCTTTGTGCACTGGTGCGCAGTCATGTTGGAACAGGAAGGGGCCATCCCCAAACTGTTCCAACAAGGCTGGGAGCATGAAATTGTCCAAAATGTCTTGGTATGGTGATGCCTTAAGAGTTCCCTTCACTGAAACTAAGGGGCCAAGCCCAACCCCTGAAAAAACAACCCCACACCATAATCTCCCCTCCACCAAACTTTACACTTGGCACAATGTAGTCAGGTAAGTACCGTTCTCCTGGCAACAGCCAAACCCGGGCACGTCCAAACCCCATTGCCAGACAGAGAAGCGGGATTGGTCACTCCAAAGAATACGTCACCACTTCTCTAGAGTCCAGTGGCGGTGTGCTTTACACCGCTGCATCCCACGCTTTGCACTGCACTTGGTGATGTAAGGCTTGGATGCAGCTGCTCGGCCATGGAAACCCATTCCATGAAGCTCTCTACGCACTGTTGGTGTGCCAATCTGAAGGCCACACCAAGTCTGGAGGTCTGTAGCTATTGACTCTGCAAACAGTTGGCGACTTCTGTGCACTGTGCGGTTCAGCATGCGCTGACCCCGCTCTGTCATATCACTTTATGGCTGAGTTGCTGTTGTTCCCAGTTGCTTCCACTTTGTTCTAATACCACTAACAGGTGACCGCGGAATATTTAGTAGCAAGGAAATGTCACAGATGGACTTATTCCAGGGTGGCAAACCTATCACGGTACCACGCTTGAATTCACTGAGCTCCTGAGAGCGACCCATTCTTTCACAAATGTTTGTAGAAGTGTCTGCATGCCGAGGTGATTGATTTTATACACCTGTGGCCATGGAGGTGATTGGAACACCTGAATCCAATGATTTGGAGAGGTGCAATACTTTTGCCAATATAGTATATAATGTATATTGTTTACACTTCTATGCTGGCAGCATTCATCAGGAAAGGCATGGAGCTCGACTTTATCTTCCTCTAGACTGGCACAATGTTTAACTAGATGGATGTCTTTTTCCAAACTAGATTACTATATCAACATGTACAAAAAGCAGCAGAAGCGTAATTGTTCCATCCACCCAAAGATTACCTGTGAAAGCAAACATCATTATCCTTTTATTGTCACCACGTCATCAGGTCAGAAATCAAGCAGTGTACAGCTGTCTTGGACTATGTACCTCCACATAGCTCAATAGGAAAATCGATTTATAGGAAAAGAGGTAAAGATTGTGAAATGTAACTGTGTGGAAGCATCAGGAGACATGCCGTGTTTACATTCCACAGCGTGTGTCATCAAAGGTAATATCCATTATAGGACCAGTTTATTTCAGGCCCAATGCAATGCATTTTGTTGCATTTTCCAGCGTAGGCTTTCCTTGTGTAGCCCCCATCACCTTTTGTGATGTGGCTACTAGACATTTAGTGATAGCCAGGGCTGTAGACAGCCTGGCTGGATTATAGTGGCAACTATATGGTTAATCCCAGGAGCCTAACATTGCCTGTAAACTGAGGGGCGCTGTAAAGCTTTCTCGCACAGGGCGCCTAAAGGCCTAAGGCCAGCCCTGACTGTAATGTATGTACAGTACAGCAGCCAATCACTGGACTTCTCTCAGCCAGTGGTGCATGTTGGGATAGAGTACATATATTGGTGGGAGCTGTCATGTGCTCAGGATTAGGGATGGGTGGATGTGCCATGGATTAGGGCTGGGTTCTGTTCAACCTGCCCCCCAGGCTAGCCCGAGGCCTGGGGGTGGGCATGGGCTGGTGTGAGGGAAAAGGTTTCCCTGAGGCCTCCAACATGGAGGAGACCTCGGATGCTGAAAGAGGAAGAGAACCGGGACCAGTGCAGGCTCTTGAAGTACCCTGGAACTAAGTGGACTTCAGAAGTATGCCCCGCTTCCTAATTGGCCGGGAAGCTGACTCCATGCTCTCTCGTCTTGTGATGAGAAAGCATGGAGCCGGCTTCTCGGCCAATCAGGAAGCCGGACAGTGTGTACTATCACGCTGGCCAATCAGAAAGCCAGGCGGTGTGTAATGATGCGGCGCACGACTTTCTGATTGGTCGGGAAGCCGGCTTCATGACGAGGGAGCATGGAGCCAGGTTCTGGGCCAATTAGGTAGCTGGGCGCCGGGTCATTACACAGTGCCCGGGTTCCCAATTGGCCAGAAAGCCGGCTCCATTCTTTCTCGTCACCTATTGATAAGAAGCATGGAGACTGCTTCCCTGCTAATCAGGAAGCCGGGTGGCGAGTCTTGACACGCCTCCTAGCTTCCTGAATGGGACTTCCAGTACTTGATATCAATGCATTCGATACGGAAATACTGGTATCGGTGCATCCCTAGTATTAAAAGTGAAAACTATTTAGTAAACTTCGCCTGGTCTTTGGAGCCATGCAGCTAAGTCCAATCTGACATATCAGAGTCACTGGCGTTCGTAAAATACCCCCTAGCATTCCTTTATAGTTGTGATGGTAAGTGAGAGTCACTGAGATACAAATGCATTTATCTTTTCTGTTCCCTGAAGAGGGCATTTATAGACAAAACACATCCAATCAAAGGATCTGAGGGGTGTGCTTAAGGGGTATTGATGTGTTTTATGATCTTCAGAGGACACACCCTTAATGCCAATTTTTCTAAACGCCTCTATATTTCCATCTGACAAGGTTTTGCAATCTGACAACCAAGCTATTCTTGCACAAAATAAAATTTGGGGCAGTTGTCCATGGCAACCAAACTCCTTCTCTCTTTCATTTTTAATCCTTATCTGAACAAAAAATCACAAAGAGAATCACATCAATTTGGAAAGTGACTTGAATGGCAATGTGACTCATTGGCGGTGAATTACTGACTTTCACTGTTGCTAGGCAACCCTTCAAACTCTGCGTCATGACATCAAGCCCTATCTACCTGCAGGGCTACATTACCTTACACAGCAGCCGGTTAAATGTCATACTTCTCCCCAGTCCCAAAATTAAGAAGCGATGAATCGGACGGGTGGGAAGGGCGGGGGGTCTTTTTCCGTTTTTGTTCGGTCTGTTCAGTGTTCCTTTGGCAGACCCAGAAAGAAGCGGTCATGTGACTGCGAGAAGAGTGGAATTTTACAAAAACATAAAGCCTTGTGATTCCTCCCGAATGCCTCACACACCCCTTCATGTATGGAGAGTCAGGGACAGCTGACTAATGACGCTTGTCATATGCCAAATTGCCTAAAAAAATAAACAAGCCCACACAAAAAGTCTGAAATTCCAGCCCAGTAACTGAAAAAAAAAATCTTTTACAATCAGATAAACACTGCCGTGGCTTTTTAACGTCTATTGACGGCACTGCAGGTAGGACTGGGCATACAAGGGGTTAATGCGGCATGCTGGACCACCAAGTGATAATGTGCTGAAATATATCTGGATTTATTAAACCGAGGCGGTTGCGTTTTTGCAGCTCAAAAGGAAACCTTTCACATTGCAACTGTCCCTATGTGGTGAGTGATAAATGTTTATCACCCTCAATGGCCAAAGTGACGCTTTCACTTTAAAGCAGACCTTCAGTGCCCAGGTCCACTTTAGCTCCGTTCAATCCTCCCCTCCACATTTTAAAATGGTGGATGGGGATTTTTTGTTTACTTTTTGGCTAGCTCCAAACCCCAACATTTCACATGGCCAGCTCCTGCAGTCTCCTTGGATATTTAAAGTGCATATCCAAGGAGGGTGCAGAAGCAGGGACTCACAGCGGCCTGGCTGCACATTATCAGGAGCCGACTGCAGAAGACGGAATAGGCAACTGGCTTCAGATGATGTCACAGAAGAAGATGGCGGTGCATGACCATCACATACCTGAATGAAGACCCAACTCAGGAGGGGGCTACCCATGCACCTCTCATCCCACACCTCTGACGATATAAGGATAGGGAAAGGCTGAGGTGCCAGTACCAGTGGCTGGCTGGGTTTCATAGAGGTGCTTCAGTACGTTGGACTGGTGGGTGAGTCTGCAGGACCAGGATGACACCAGTATCTCATAGAACTGGATTAGATACCTGTCATGGAGTCAGAAAATTCAGTGGCTGGATGAGTTGGCCTAGGGTATTGGGACAAGGCTCCAAGAGGCAAGCCAGGAGCGTAGTCGGATTCAAAGCCAGGGTCATGCACAGGTAGCAGAATCTCGAAGTGCCGAACCGCAGATTAGTAGCAAGGTCAGGAGTCATAAGCCAGTATCATACATGGGAGAGCAAAGAGTCTGGGTACCAAATTGGAAGGAGGAGACAGAGTCAATGGTCACAAGCCAGGTTCAAACACAGGAGAACAGGATCTCAGGAACAGAACAAAGGGGAAACAGGGACAAGCAGACGACCACCCAGCAACTTCATCATGGCTTCTGTCTTCTTAAATAGGCAAAGCGTGCCCGCTAATGAGCATGTGCCAGTGCACTAATGTGCATGTGCGCTATTGCGTGTGTATGTTCCCGTGCGCACACATTCCTGCGCTAAAACGCGTTTGCCAAGAACTCTGACAAGCGTAAGGTTTCCCAGCACACTCACCAGCCAGCATGCAAAAAAAAACCTGTCTAAGGTTAAAAACAGAGGTTTTAGATACAAGTCTTCTGCAGAATATGTGAAAGCCGTACTGCCTCGTCAAGGCCCCTCTGTGTAGTGCGGTCCTAACTCTAACCTATGAGACCTATTTGCATGCTGGCTGGTGAGTGTGCTGGGAAACCTTTTGCTGTTTTACTTTTTAAAGCCCTTCCGTGTGCACTTTGCTTTAAAGCTGGTTATGAGTTGATGAGTGCGTTTGCCATGTTTTGCTTGACTGATTTGGTGCAGTGACACACTGGGGTATTAAGCTGCCGTTGTGATGTGCGGGGTCCCTAGTGTGTCCCTGTGCCTTTAAGGAGGTTGGGCTGCCTACTGGCGAACCTGCACCCAATTTATCTTTTGCCTCATGTGCTCCAAGATAGAGACTGTCATAGGTTAGAATTAGGACCGCACTACACAGAGGGGCCTTGACGAGGCAGTACGGCTTTCACATATTCTTCAAACTTGTATCTAAAATCTGTTTTTAACCTTAGCAGTTAGACAGGTTTTTTTTGCATGCTGGCTGGTGAGTGTGCTGGGAAACTTTTTGCTGTTGCCCAGAACTCAGCACGGGATTGCGTGCACATGTGCTCATGCATCTTTGAGCAGGGACCGGTTTGTGGTTAAGTCTCTTAAAATGACCCTTACTGTGGCAGTAGACTGGCGGATCACAGCAGGACAACGCTGGATTCACTGGATAGGGGAGTATATTTTCTGGTGAGAGCACAGCATGACAGGTAAGAGGGTAAGTGGAAAAAAGCTCTTGCATTGGTACTCAGTGTAGGTGGGAGATTAAATTGCCAGTGGTAACCCCTAGCAACGTGAAGAGGAACCTCGGTGAGAAAGGCTGGTCTATACTGAACACTCATTTATACCCCTAAATGGATCACCTAAGCCTAAAACGCTTATAAAAAATTCATTATAACAATGGCAAGAAAATATTGACTCTGGCTTTGATGGCTCAACTCTCTAAAGAAAAAAACAGTAATATGTCATTTGTTTTTCCTCTCAGAGCCAAGAACTTGCCTACAACAACAAAAGTCTCATTAACCTCCAAACCCCTCCCGGAATGTCCACTGCGAAATATACAGCATGGCTAAATTATGACGTGGGAGCTTGTTTTTCTCTTTTTCTTATTGTAGAGCCTGATAGTTAAAAAATAGTTTTATTTATGTCCTGTTTTGTCATGTCAGCTCTAAAAAAAAAAAATAACCCTATTTGCCGGTCCTTTTATGCTTCTTTTTACATTTCTTTTTTACCCACCTCACTATGAGGTTATATATTCTCTCTATTGTTGGTCTGCAATTCCCGGACCAGAGGGACTTAGGTCTATGACGTATTGGTGATCCTGCCACAGACGTTAACTCACCAGCATTCGGATCACCACAAGAGAACATTCACCTGTTTCATCAGCATCGCTCTCTTGCTGTAGTTTGTTTTCGTTGGTTTTTATGCAAGCAAAATACATATCTGGCATATAGAAGGTCCAGACCTGAAGATGTCGTTCCCAACCTGTTCAGACTGCTGGCTCTATAAACCACAATATTAGCTGGAAAATAGAGTCCAGACCTGAAGATATCAAACCCAACCTGGTCAGCTTGCTGCCTCTGCAACCACAACAATAGCTGGCAGATAGAAGATCCAGACCAGGAAATATAAAACCCAGCCTGGTCAACCTGCTCCCCCTGCAACCACAGCTAGAAGACAGAAGGTAGGTATGACTTTTGCCTGTGAAAATAGGTAATGCTGATCATATTGGACATGGAGGAAGCAATTAAAGAGAACCTATAATTTGACTTTGATAGAACAAAACAAAATTCACTTTAAAGTGTCTACCACAGTCTTATACATAACTTTGCAGAAGTCCTGTGCATGTAATCTTAGTTGATGCTTCCTTAGGACTGAGGAGCCTCTCTCATCCCCATGTGAAGGTGTTGGAGCTTATGTTGTCAATCACCAAGCACCAGTGCGGTTACATGCAAGGAAGGGGCCTGATGTTCCCCATAGCAGGTATTTGCCACAGGAAGGGTGGAGGTGTCTTTGACATGTGGGCTTTGATTGGCAGTCTGTCTTCACCTTCTCTATGCTGTGCAAGAGCCAAGATGGCGGCACCCAACAGGGTAATAAATGGGTCTTGAGCACATATGAAAACAGTTTAATTTCACTGATTATGGAGTGATGAGATGGCATAGGCTGAACATCTGGTATTTGGCAGCGATTTCTGTAAACACAAGCAAAGGAGAGGGTTGCTCCTTTTAGTGAAGTTATTTTAAGGATTTCCATGTTCACTAAAGGGGATAATAATATGAAGGTTTACAGGAAAAGTCATGACACGAATACTTTCTCCCACATCTCCGGGTTTTCACATGCAGCTTCACTGAAGGTAACCTCATATGCTGAGGTTGAGGTCTTCAGGTTTAAAATGCAACACCAGACAATTTTTTTGTTTTGTTTTGGGCAGGACTAGGTAGGGATTTTTATAGCTGTCTGTGCCGTCTGAGAGATTTGTTCTCACTCTTTGTCCTAGTGACACCCAGGAAAGAGAGTGAAAGGAGATCTAAACTTCTTGGGGCCAAATTGTTGTAACTATTTCACGTGCATGTTATTGTGTTCACATTGCTTAGTCGAAAAGCATCTGGGTAAAGCTCTACTCCGGACAATTTAACCTTCATTTAAATATTTTTCTCAATAGCCACAAAGGATATAAATCCACTTTGAGTGCACCAAATACTTTTGCCATCCCAAATATTACCTGGTAAATGTGGCTGTGACATCACTGTGCTGTACATATCCAGAGCAGAGCTGTGACAGCCACCTAAAAGGTTCCACTGACCACAGAAGGGGGCAGATACAAGACCAGTCAAATAAAACAAATGGCAAACGCACTCATCAATTCGTCACCAACTTTACAGCAAGGTGCACATGGAAGGGCTTTATACAGTACAACAGCAAAAAGTTTCCCAGCACACTCACCAGCCAGCATGCAAAAAAACTTGTCTCACCGCTTAGGTTAAAAACAGGTTTAGATACACGTCATCTGCAGAAAATGTGAAAGCCACACCGCCTCGCCAAGGTACCTCTATATAGTGCGGTCCTAACTCTAAACTATGAGAGTCTCCATCTTTCTCTTTTGCTATATGTGCTCCAAGATGAAGGCTCTGATAGTTTAGAGTTAGGACGGAACTATATAGAGGTGCCTTGCGCGGCTGTGTGGCTTTCACATTTAGATACACGTCTTCTGCAGAAGACGTGTATCTAAACCTGTTTTTAACCTTAGCGGTGAGACAAGTTTTTTTGCATGCTGGCTGGTGAGTGTGCTGGGAAACTTTTTGCTGGGATACAAGACCAGCACACCCTACACAAGAGAGAAAATAGCAGTTGACTAGTCTTTACTACGGGGAACTCAAAGTTTTACACTGGATTACTGAACAGATCTGAAATACAAGATTCAAGTAACCTTACACATGACTCTTGTATTTAAATGATATTTGCTTATCCTGGAGTTCAACTTTAACATGGACAGGTGTGAATATCCCCTTAGAGTTGCCACTGGAACAGGAGTAGGGGGCAATTCTGCCAGTGGAGGCACAATTTCTATTAACAATTGTCAATGCAGACATGTCCCCTCACCAGAGAAATCTCCTCCTACCATTTTTTTTAGGGGGATAGGAAAAGGGTATATCTCCCCAGTGGTAACACAGACAGCAATAAAAACCTGGCACATTCTAACCCTTTCCAGAACAAGAGGTGTTTTGGCTGGAGTTTCACTTTAATGGGGCATAGCCTGTAGACACGTCTCTGAATCCATACTCACGCCAATTGACTTGCACCTTTGTGGAAAAATATTTCTCCCACTCTGTAATAAGTCTAAATGTTTTTATTCTATCATACATTATGAATACAGAGGAGGCTTCTCGCTCTGCTCTCACAATACACGTCTTGTGCCTCGATGGTAAATAATAGGCTCATTGTCTGCTATAAGTAATACTTTGCTAAAATGTTGAATACTTTTTCTGTGTTAAAAACTTCCAGAGGGACACTCTGCAAAGCCAATTACAGTTTAAAGCGGCCCTGTCACCACTGGCTTCTGCAATCAAATTGAAGTCTGTTCAGCATTTTGAACAGGCTGCGGTGGTGCCATCCACTAGTTGTTTCAGCACCCTGTGCACAAGGGTGAATGAATACCTCTCATTGCAGGGTCACCAGTAAAAGAAGCATTTATATTTCAGGTATAGTGCCATCAAGTTACACAGAGCTGTACATATTGTTGCCAGTATCCAGCATGTTTGCCTTAACCCTTCAATGGACAGTCCCCAATTATAAGGGCATTATGTTGCCAGTATCCAGTATGTTTGCCCTAACCCTTCAATGGCCAGTCCCCAATTATAAGGGCATTACCCTGCAGTGACCAAATTCTATTAAAAGTGGATTAACCTGCGAGTGTATGAAGATAAATAAATCCTCAGAAGCCAGTCTTCTGCATATGTGCATCTCCGTGATCAATCTCCCGCATATAAATGCGTGTTAACCCCTTGGTGGCAAGGCCCCAGTGTATGTGCATGTATATGTCAGTGATCTCACTGTATGTGCAGGAACCCTTCAGTGGCCAGTCTCTAGCCTATTTGCAATACCTCCTCAATGGAAAGCCTTTCAGAAGAGTGGAGGCTCTTACAGCCACAAAGCAGAGATGGAGGGACATTTTACTGTCCATGGTTTTGGAATGGGATGGCCAACAAACTCATAAAAGGTGTGATAGTCAGATGTCCACAAACCTTAGCCTAAATAAAGTACCTTAGTTCAGTTTTTGGCACCAGCATTTGTGCTCTTTAAATTAATGATAACTTATATGCACATTTTTTTTATGAGCAGCTATGAGTAAGCTGAAGATTCCTTGCAGCTACATTGCTGTCAGTAATGTGTAAAAGTAATAGCTAGATGGAGCCATTAAAGGCAGAGAAGTAAAATTTACTTGTACACACCTTACAGAATATTGATAGTTTTCTTCTAAGCACGACATGCAAAGAAAAAATGTTTTTATTTGTTAAAAGGAAATCTCAAGTATTAAAAGTGGCATTAATATGTTCTCAGGGCTTGATCACACCTAACCCAGTGCGTTCCAGCACAATTAGTAGCTGGAATGCACTGGATCGCATAATTACAGCCTCCCTGCATTAGGGAGCATGGTGGTGCATTCAAGGCACCGCAGCCATGCCTCCCCACCCCGCAACGTGCGGCTTAGCAATGCCTGTGGTCTGGTCCGATGGCCAAAAATAGTGCACGCACTATTTTTGGCTAAGGCACCGGACCGGACTGCAGGTTCAGGAGAACCTACTTTAAGATTCCTAAAAAAAAGTGCATGCACTATTTTTGCGATCACACTGGACCAGACCACAGGCATTACTGTGCCATGCATTCTGATGTGATTGCACCAGAATGCAGGGTGGCTGTAATTATGAGATCCAGCTACTAACTACGCTGGAACGCACTGGATTAGGTGTGAACCGGCCCTCAGTCAGAACTCATAATTCACGTACAGTGTTTTAGATCAATGATTTAGAAAGTACTGAAGCCAGTGAATCTGCATGACACGCAGTTTCAGAAGAGAGGTTAGCAAGGGCAGGTTTTTATATTTCCCTCAGGCCAGCCAGCTTTGAAAGGGTTTGTAGCAGAGTGAAATAATATGAAAGCCATGCTAGCAAGTGTTGCAACAAGTCAATTGTGTATACACTGAAAACACATTTATTTTTTTATTTAAAGAGGAACTGAACTCTGGAAGCTGTGCCCCCCAAAAAAGGCAAAGGACTAGTCACCAGTATTGCAGATGCAGCAGTGCCTGAGATCTTACACTGCACCAATACAGGCTATACGCACAGGAGTGCCTGGGCACACTCACATTGCTGGACATGCTCTGCTATTTTCCAGGAAGAATTTCATATAAAAAGCACATTTAACATTTCTAGATATTCCCTATGATGTAACAAATAGTTTTATGAGTGCAGGTCCACTTTAAAAGGACGGAGGAGATCTTCTTTATTAACATATTGTTACTTAATTTCCAACCCATACCTACAAATGTCACACCGTACAGTTGTGGCTGTTCACATAAAATCACTAAGTCATAATGTAACAGAGTATTTACACTATGGGCTCAAATAGAAATAAAATTGCAAACAATCATTTTGGGGTTCAGGAGAACCTACTTTAAAATTCCCTTTATTGTTGGACACGATGACCACCATGGTGAGCAGAGGTAGAACCATCAAGAGAACTGTTTCAGTATAAATGGCACGTACGTGTACAGTACTCATTACATTGCAAAGTCTCTGTTTGAACAAAGACTTGAAGCCACCACCTACAGCACAAGGGGCGAAGGGGGTATATGGGTTGGACTTGATGGACGTATGTCTTTATTCAACCCCAAATACTATGTAACTATGTAAGCCAAACATCAAACATCAGGCAAAAGCAGATCCCTGCAAAAAAAAAAAAGACACTATATACTCACCTCTACAGCAGCTTCTGCCTTTGCTGTATCTGCGCCGAGGCAGCCATCTTAGTGGAGGCAGGGCTTTGCTTCCTCATGTCAGAACCAACAACAAGGAGAACAGTGAGAAGCACAATAGTGACATCACGGAATCTCCTGAGACTAGCAGTCAGAGGCAGATCTCACATTTCAGATATACAGCTATAAGGCTACATAACAGGAGTGCCTAGGCACACTCACATACCAGAAATGCTCTGCTATTTTCCGGGAAATCCAGATAATTGCACTGCAGGTCTTCAGGTATAGCTTTTCCTCCAGCAAGGAGAAGAGTGAGCAGCACAGTAGCGACACCAACAAATCTCACTTTAACCTCCCTGGCGGTAATCCAGAGTCTGGCTCGGGGTGAATTTTCAATGCTAGGAGCGGTAACCCCGAGTCAGACTCGGTGCTGCAGAGAAAAGTGACACTCACCTTGTCCCTGCGAGCCCGCGGCGTCCTGTGCTGTACGCGGCCCGAAAATGAAACTAAAAGCCGGCATCTGACTTTTAGTTTCGTTTTCGAGCGTCACAGCAGGCGGGAAATTCAAAAGATCTAGAGCTCCAACACAGTTTGGGAAGCTGGTAGAGGTATAGAAGTCTTCAGCTATTTGCACCCATTTCTCCTTGGTCGGCTCCGGCATAAAGACTTTATAGAGCGTGTCACATATCGCTTTGCAGGTCTCCCGTACGATTAACCTGATGGTGGCTTTTCCAATCAGAAAGCGGAAATGCAGGGAGGTGAAACTGTGTGCGGTGGACAGGTATCTGCCAAATGATAACAGACAATGAACAACAAGCAAAGAAAGTACACCATCTATCATCAAAGCTGAACTCTGTACAAAGAGCTAAATACATAGAGGAGGGGTGTTCTACCTACTAAAGGATTTGTATTTCTCAACTCTCCAGCGTGCTGCCGACACAGTATTTTAACCCTTGCTGCAGCACACAGTATGTAAAAAAACAAAAAGACAGCCAAACTAATAATGTATACACAACCAGACTGCACTACAGTAATAAATACAGAAGCTTCAATTGGGCTTAAAAGCTAGAGTTTCATTTACTTACATTCTGCCTTTCCCTGTTTCATCCCTCCCCTCAATATGCTAATGACATATTTAAATAAAAGGTTTCCACTTGCATTACATACCTAATTTTAGACCAAGTAATGTTATCACTGGTCCTCTGTGCAATAGGGGGCAGTGGCTAAAAGTATTAAAATGCAATGAATGAAAGTGGCAGACCAGGGGCAGTCAGGCTGGGGAGCAAAGAGCTAGAAGATGCTGGACATGCTTCAGCCAGTAATCTAAATTGCTGCAGCTTCTAATGCACATTGTGAGAAGCTCGCAGTAAGTAATTTCAGTTCAGGAGAGGAGCCGGTAGAAATGTGTAAGACTGAAGGAAAGGGTGAAATTCAGCTTAAAAATGTAAAGGCCTAGAACTAATTTTTATATCGCCATCTTAAAGAAGAACTTCGGGGAAATTGATTATTAACCCTTGTAGTGGGACTACTCCCGCACTGCAAAGGCAAAGTGCTCATTTTGGTCTAGGGAGGAAAATAACAGTTATATGCACCTGATCCTAAGAGCCGGGTTGCTCCTAGACCAGGATACAGTCCATGAACCCATCGCACTCAAAACCGCTGTCCCATAGTGTAGAAAATGGGTGCTGCAGTTGTCGACGGATGGCAACCGTCTATAATCACAGAACAACATAGACACCGACACTCCAAGTAATGAATCATTGGCGGGAACGTGACGTAATCATGACGTCACATGATCTCAGCAGACCTGGGGATTGGTTTATTCTCACATTATGGTGTGTATATATGTATATGGTTTCACTTTCATTTGCATCACTTATTTTGCCTGATGAAGGGCATCCTGTGATACCCCGAAACGTTGTGTTTGATGGGTATTAGACACGGACTTAGACATTATAACATTACAGGAGGTCCTGGATAAAATAAGTGAGTGGGCAACTATATGGCAGATGAGGTTTAATGTTGATAAATGTAAAGTAATGCACTTTGGGGTTTAAAATAGGCAAGTGGAATACACATTAAAGGGAACTCCACTGGGGAAGTCAGAGATGGAAAAAGATCTGGGGGTCATTGTAGACCACTGATTGAATAATAGCTTGCAATGCCAGGCCGCGGCAAATAAAGTGAGCACAGTGCTGTCATGTATTAAAAACGAAATGTACTGTAGAGACAAATCCATAATTTTGCCACTTTATAGATCACTGGTTCGGCCTCATCTGGAGTATACGGTCCAGTTTTGGTCACCAATCCACAGGGATGTCCTGGAGCTGGAAAGGGTCCAGAGAAGGACAACCAAACTAAGGGAATGGAAGACCAAAGCTATGAAACAAGGTTACTAAATTTAAACATTTTCACGGTGGAAGAGAGGAGATTAAGGGGGATATGATTTTGCGGTACAAGATGTTCAATGGTGATGACAACATCAGCAATAAACTTTTTACGGTAAGCTCCATAACAAAGACTAGAGGCCAACACCTAAAAATGGTGGACAAAAGATTTCAGCACAAGGGGTGTAGGGACTTCTTCACAGTTAGAGCGGTTAGGGTCTGCAACTCGCTGCCACAAGCAGTGGTATCAGCTGAGAGTGTTGAATCATTCAAAAAACACTTGGACAATTTCCTCAGAGAACATAAAATACAGGGGTACAGATACACTTAAGAACAAGATCACACAGGGACTCATACACACGCAGAATCACTATGCATCGTGCTACGTTTCATGCGTCAATAAACAGACGCCATTGATTCATTACTTGGAGTGCCGGTGTCCATGTTGTTCTTTGCTCTTAGACCCTCCGCTGCAGCAGTCTAAGATCCCGTAAATCATAACGTTCTATAGACAGTGTATAGGGCGTGAGGACACAGAGGAACATCTCTCTGCAGCGTAGGAGAGAGGCTGGAGGGAGCACTGTCACAGCCAGACGCCTCAGAGGATTGGATGAGTTCAACTCCCTAGACCAAAATGAGCACTTAACCCTTACAGTGTGGGGGAAGCTGAGTTCTGCTTTAAGTGCCATCTACAAGAATAGCCTTGCCCCTGCCCAGAATGTGTGTGACCTATTGGAAGGCCTGAGTGTTGCAATGTGGGATGCAGTGGTGCCTGGCATGCCTATGATTGGCACCGCATTGCATCAACACATGTAACACGCCTGTTATTGCAAGCCCATTGCATGTCGAAAATACACACTGCAATACTATGTTTTAACATGCGGCTGCTCTCTGCTGGGTGTCAGCAGTGCCTTGCATGAATACACAAGGTACTGCTACACAACTCACTGTTTACTTGTATAAACTTTACTGGCATTGATCCAGTGCAGAAACGCACCAGTCACCAAAGCTTGTGTGAACGTGCCCCAAGTGCATCTCAGTTTTGGACTGTGGGTGCAAGGTTGCACTTAACGTGACTCCATCTTGTTTTTGAATTTTTATCATCATATGCCTGCATTAACTTTGCTTCAAGATTCACCACCTTCTACCTGCATGTTAATGATCAGGTGACAGCAAGTTGCATGTAAACACCTGTACACAGCATGTAATCATATGTGATATCATTACATGCGGTTAGAAAACACTCTCCCTGAATGCACAATCATTGCGTCCAGGGAGAGTGAATGATTCCTAACCGAATGTAATCATATCACTACATGCGGTATGCAGGCGTTTACATGCAGCTGCTGTTACCTGATCATTAACCTGAATAAGTGACAGCTGCCGCTTTTAAACGCCAGATTAGGGATTCCTGCTGCAGGAAACGTATGTTCATGATGCAGAAATCCCTAATTGCACCTAAAGATACAGGTGGTGTGAATGGAGCCTAATACTAAAATACTACACACACACATATA